AGATAAGATCAGAAAAATTAAACTAATAAGTTTATACAATAAGGTATAATAAGGATTACTCACGTTTAATTTACAAGCTAAAATAAGTTAATTGAAGATAGGATGATATAAGTTGTATAAAATCATAAGATAAGTTCAAATAACTGATAAGTTAAGATACTCCCTAACTAAAAAATCAGCTAAAAATAACGCACCTTTATAAGATAACATATACTTCTTCGTATGTGAAAGATTTATTTGTCAATCGTCACTGGCTTATGATTGACATTTTGTTTTTGCCCCTGAATTTGATTTTTAAAGATTGATCACAGGTCACCCCATGCAGAAATTATGTATCACAGTACACTCATTGTTAAATTATTTTGTTTTTGTAAAGGAGAAGATTGATTGTGTGCATTATTCATTGGCTATTCGATAAAAAGAAATAATAATTTTTATAATAAAGTATGTAAAATAGCGTAAGTCTTTGGAAATTAGGTAATCCACTCCATAATTTTTATATTCATGGTCTGCCACTAAATATAATACCAAAGGAGATTTTTATTTTTTTATTATATAATTACTACTCCGCTTGTACTATGTTACAAAATCTCATACATTATTATATTAATTTATCCTGGCATGAATAATGTGAATTTTCCTATTATATGTTGTTACATTAAATAATTAATTTAGGGGATGTCCTACTTTTTCATGGTGAGAAACGAAATTTATTTCTCACATGGTATTTTTGTAAATAAACCAACAACTTTAATCAACTTTATTCAATTGTGAAACCCACAATAATGAAAAAGTTGTTGATTTACCCACGAAAATGGCCCCATAAGAAACAAATTTCGTTTTTCAATATGAGAAACAGGGAATTTCCCATTAATTTATTTATCGTCATTTGATTGCCCTAAAGTTCTATAAATAGGGTAAAGAAAATAACATTTTAATTCCACACAACAAATCAATAATACTTCATATATCATACTAAAAGATTACTAGTAGTGATTTGCAGATAGATATGGAATCTTACATCAAAATCTTCTACATTGCTCTTCTTTCGCTTATCTTGGTAAGCATCTACATAACTTTTTTTTTTTTTTTTTTTAATAGACATAACAATTAAATTAAGAAGCTAAGGCTTGAAATATAAAATATACGATCTCCAATACATAGAATCGACTAGTAAATAAAGTATGGAGTGTATATTATTAACTATTTTTTCTTCTAGTATTATATTATATATGTTATTTAGCTATCTCATTATCGTTTACTAATTTATAGTATAACATCTTTTTATGTAAATATAACATTAGTATACACTGTACACATAATTATATAAGCTAAGCTATGAAGTACTGTATGATAAAAGAGAATACTAACCAAATACTACGTACCCTCATTCAATTTTTTTTTTTAATACGAATATATTTTACAGGCTTAAGTTATACTTTGTATATACTCCCTCTAATTGTGATTTATGTTCTTATTTGAAATCCTACGATCATTTAAAAATATGAGAGAATATCTTAAATATATATATATATATATATATATATATATATATATATATATATAAAAGTGTCATATGGGATCTTATTAAGATGCACCCTAATTAAGCTTATTCATGCATAGTTTATATACTACATACATTGCACACGCGTACATACTTGTTAATTAATGTGCGTGTTTATTCGAACATTGTTATTCAAGTTAACCAACTTTAAAGTTGTTCCTTCAAATTATACTAGTCCTGATTAGAATGTACTTAGTACGAAGTATGTATTAATGTCAATTTACAAATGTACAGCTTGCGAGCTCGAGTGAAGGGAGGAAAGACCCGCAAACATATTGGGGAGACATGATGAAGGGGCAACCGATGCCTGAAGCTCTCAAGGACTTTATAAATCAGAGGTCTTACGAAAATCATGAAAAGAAAGAAGCAATAATTACAAATTTTATCAAAGACTTTGATCCAATTCCTAATGCTTCAGCTTACCATGATGATAATGTACATGTGAATTCAAACGAATTGAAATCAAAGAAGGCAGATTGCAACGACTTAGTAGAGCATCATGATAAACTAGCATCCAAGAAGTTATTTGATGACGAATTTGAACCAATCCCAAATGTTTCTGCTTACAATGAATAATTAGAATAATATATATTTAATGCATTGTTATACATAATTAATTATATGCATTTATATATATGCGTTGGATTATATGTATTTCAGGTTTGTGACACTTGCTTATGTATTTTTCTTTATGTCTGTGTACCATTATCCTTAAGTTTTTATTTGATAATTCGCACAATTTTAATCTACTTTTACGTTTTTCTTTGTGAGAATATAGCTCTCTATATGTATAACAGTATAAATATAGTAACAGAGTATAAAAATCAATTTTGAGCTTGAATTATAAGCTAATTTAATACTTTTAGTTGAGTTGATCCATAAACTTTAAACATCTTAACATGATATCGAGAGAGCATTTCATTTTACTTGAGCTTGAACTATAAGCTAATACTTTTAGTTGAGTTGATCCCTGAACTTTATTAATCTTTACGTGGAATCGAGAGAGCATTTCCTTTTACTTGGTTTGAAGACGGAGCACCACACATGGGCTGTCAAGAACGTCGATGAGGTAAGATCGGCCACTAGCGACAGCACTAGGCTCACCACTGGCGACACCACTCTACTCTCTTAATCTATTTCTTGGCCAGCCTTTCTCCAGCACTAGCACCATATCGTTAACCATCTACATCTCTGGCAATTTGGTGAGTCAATTCAATAAGTCATGCTTAATATCAGGCAATGTACTCCAAGACACGTTAGCTGTTTGTCGTCCTTTATTTTACAATAATTATTTTCAACTTTATCCGATCCTTTGTTTTCCTCTACTTTCTGAATTTAGTTTATTGGATTACATTGTTTGGAATTTCATGCTTGTCAATGTAACACTCGTTACAATCATAAATTTAATTTAGTATCAATAAGTAAAATTAAAAAAAAAATTGATATTTTGATAATATATACATTAAATCGAACTAACAAGATAGATCACCTAACTATCATTTTCTTTTAATTATGTAACTAGTGTAAAATTCTAAGCATTATTGCAAGTGAAGAAAAGGACATATATATTTTGTTGTAAATACAAGTATACAAGTATTCAATCTTGGCTAAGTTACTAGTGTTAGGATTAGTGTGGAGATGAATCAATGCATGGGAGCATAAGGAGAAGCGAATAAAAGTTTCATCAAAGTGTTGTCAATAAAAATGAAGTGAAATTCCTTGATGAAGATTGCGACTTACATCATCATAAGCCAGTACAAGTATTTAAAAAGTTGGTTGTAGATGAATTTGAACCAAGACCCACCATTTCAATCCACCGTGATTAGGACTTCTACTGATTTACCCCTTTTCGTTTTACTAAGATTGTCCCCTTTCCTCTCTTTTATAATTGTAAAGCTTAAACTACCGTGTTAGGTTAAATTTTGCTCCTACGATGGTGTTTTTATATTTTCACGCATTTTAATTAGCATTGTTGTTAATGCTTGTTTTTTTCTTGCTTATTAGTATACGATATACGAAGTATGTATTTTTGTGTTTGAGTACTATGTTAATTTAAGCCGTTTAACCATGTCTAGTATGACATTAAAAAATCATTTGAATGTTTTACACCCTTCATTTTGTTGATTTCCACTCAGTTACTGAAGCTATGCAAACTAAGAAAAATTAAAAATGGTGATCATGCATGTAGGTGCTTTTGTATTAAAGAGATAAGTATATTAAATAAAATAGGGCCCACAAAGTGAGATTGTGGATGATAAAAAATAAATGAAAAGTTGTCAAAGGAATAAAGCAAAATTGAGTAGAATATAGAAAAAAAAAATGAAAAAAAATTGAGTAAAACTTAGAAAAACGAAGGGAGTGAAATTGTTTTTTGAACAATTTCCAAATTCTATAGAATTGCTAAAAGAAATCAAAATTTCTCAGTGCTTGTTTCGTTAACATGGGAATTAATTTCCTACAAAAAAGCATTTCATGTGAATTTAATTCCAACATAAACTTCATGGGAATATTAATAAAAAATAGATTAGGTAAATAGTGCAAAAAGTCAAAACATTTAACTTAAGAAATATAGAAGGAGCACAATAAAGTGTAGAAAAATTTGAATCGAGGCCCAACTAAGTCATAATGACTTACGTCATTTTGTCTCACTAAGATAAATCAGACTAATATAAGGGATATTTTGAACTTTTTTAATTTTTAATAAAATACTAAATAAGGTTTTCAACAACTAATAAATGATTTTTAAAATCAGCCGATCGCAAATTATCGACTGATTTATAATTGTAGTTGATATTTGAAAAAACGATCCGTAATTAGCATCATCTGAATTTCAACGGTCAATTAATTAAGAAAAGAACTAATTTTAAACTGGTTATCATATCAAATGTGGTTTTGTTGTGTTCTAAATCAAGTTACAGGATATATAAGAGAAGGTAAAGAAGACTGAAGACCCATAAAGGCGAAATAATGAGTATGAGACAAGGGGTGATACTTTTTTTTAATGTTGCAAAAGAAATTTTGAGTAAATGAACTAATTGCATACTGTAACAAGTAAATAAAAAATTGATTGATAGAAAAGATAGAGAAAAGGAGTTCATATATGGTTAGGAATTTAATTGAAATTTAAAACAATTATAGATATATATAAACTTTTGATTGGAATATGATTCGGTTTCTAAGTGTTACCACTTGGAGCAAAGTTATTGAGGCAAGGGAATGCATAACACAACAAACTTTTTTACATAGGACCAATTGAAAAAAAAAAAACATTGAGCCGTGGAGGCCAGGCCCAACCAGCTCCAGGTGGCTTCACCCCTACTCTGCACAACACTGTTGGGCTTCGGACCTGCGGTTAGAGGCTGGCAGCCACCAGGCAGTGGTGCAGCAGGATTTGGATCACCGGTGTACCGTGTACTGTTAATTTGATGGGAGACAATTTTTTTTTTTCTTTTTTTTTTTTGACGAGTCGGGAAACAAGTTAGATGCAAGGGCTTTCAGATTATATCTCCTTTACCCAACATCACACTTCCAAGTGAGAGCCAACGCCGGAGCTCCGCTGTTAACCAACCGGAAAACCCAGCCTAGTACCCTCTCACAACATAATACAATTTAAAAGGTCATTTTTCACAACTTTTCACTTAAAAGGTCCTTTTAAACAAAATTGACCACTTAAAAAGTCCTTTTACACAAATCTTCCTTTTAAAATCAATTACAATACATTCCTCAACTGATGTTACAACAAATTATTAAACCAATCAATTGGACATATACTATGAATTCCAACAATATTAGTACTCCGTAAGTAGTATAGCATACAAGCTAAGTAAGCAAATTTTTACATACTTGAAACACTTCCTCTTGAACCCTCAAAATTAGATATTATTGGCACCCAAACAAGATTATCTGCAGGAAAGAAATGGCAAACTGGAGATGAACCCGGCTTGATTCCTAGAACTCGAAACGAGAAGTGGTTAGGACTCCATTGGGAGGTATCCATATGACAAACAGCAACGGCTTGTACAATATTATCACTTCCCTTTTCTTCACCTTTCAATGAAACTTGAAACACTTTGCTTTCGCTTTCTTGGTGATGGCAATAGTACACCACGTATGGGTACGGCATGGTGTGACAAGCAATCATTTTCGGGGCTAGTATTTCTTTAGGTTCATCTACGACGGTATAATTTTGTAAAATACTACCAGATTTCGCGAAGTTTTGGGTGCTCAAGGCCTTAAATTTTGTTGTTGGTCCGAAGATTTTATGCACAAAATCGAGCATAGACTCTAAGGAAGTAGCACAAAATTTAGTCTCTCCTAGTATAGGTTTTATTATGATGCATTGTCTTAGGGTATCTTCCATGGCTTTAGCTTGAGACGAAGCTTGAGAGAAGCCGAAGAGTTGAAGAAGGTAAGATAGTTTAGATGGTGAGAAAGGTATTAACTCGGCTTCTTCCCTAGGAAGAAAATGAGGAGAACTCGAGGAAGGATTTCGGCCTCGAAAGAAGATAGGTATTACATTTCCTAGCTTAAGGTCTTTAGGGGTGAAAAATACTTGCACTGAATGATCCATGTGTGGTGTTGTTGAATGGCCTTGATGAAGATGTTCATGATGACTTCCTTCGTAGTTTCGATTACTTGCAAGGTTTTCTCCATTTGCGGCATAACCAATCTGCTAAAGAAATTAAAATCAATTTAATTCATAGTATAGGTTAAGTTGAAGACAAATTATATAAAAATTATACGTAGTAGAGGGTAATTAAGAAGATGATTAACCATTAGTAGAAGAAAATGTAGAGCCAAACTCCACCGAGCAAATTGAGAATAATGCATCTTAGCTTGAAAAATGTGTTGGTGTGAATGTGTGATGCCTGATGAGAGCAGTATAAGGCTAAATTATTAGGTTGGGTGCAATAATGCATGATGAAATACAGATTATTCGAATAACATTAGACAACCTTACTCGACCCCACATGGCCACATCAATGTTTTAGAAAAAATCTCTGTTTCACAATAGATGCAACATTTTGACCTTTTGCACCATTAATTAGTGTCAATAATTTATATAAGTGGGGAAATTTTCATGTGTGGCTCTAGCCGAGTACCTCATTAACACGCCGAAATGATGTTAAAATTTCCTCCGAAAATTAAGAGCCTTTTGTTTAAGAAAGAAATGCGTTAATTGTTTATTTCGTACACCCTGCGCATGGTACACCCGGAAGAACATCACCTTATGAATAAAAGAACATTACCTATAAATAGAAGAACATTACATATAAATAAAAGAACATTGCCTATAAATAGAAGAACATTACTTATATATATAAAAAATTGTAGTTATAATAATTTATTATACATTACAAACGAACATAGTGTACATCAAAAAGAACGTTACATATAAAATAAAGAACATAACTTAAAAATAAAATAACATTATATATAAATATAAAACAACATTATCTTTCTGAAAAAGAACGTTACATATAAATAATGGAAAAATGCTACTACCCAAACCCATGGAAGAAGATGATGAACAATAATGATGAACAATCAAGTAATTTTATGATAATAAAGCTTTATATGAACAACAAACATTATCACAAAACACAAAATATAGGTAAAAATAACAAGCAATGAGAGAGTTCACTATTAAAGTACAACCTAGGGTTTCATATTCATGAAGTAGAACAAAGATGAACAAAGAAAGAGATGTCATACCTCAAATGAGTAGAAAACCCTTGTAAAGATTAATAGTGGAGATCAAGCAAGTTGAACACTCAATTGCAAGTTTTTTAGCCAAAATAAAAAATTCCCAAAATTCTCAAATCACGAAAAATTCCAAAATTTGGTTGTGAAATTCGGATTTTGGAGTGTAAAATCTAGTATAAATGTGTTTGTGAGTTATGAATTAAGCACATAAAAACTATAAGAATCAAGAAATAAAATGGAAGTAGAAGTTAGAGAGAAAGGAAAGAGAGTATCGAAGAGAGAGAAAATGAATGGGTGAAATGAACATTCCATATAAATGAGGCTTCATAAAAAAAGAACATTAAATTTGTCCCAATGTTCTTTTATTTATATGTAATGTACTTCCGGGTGTACCATGCATATGGTACAAACCCCTCTATCATACTATTTTCAATTGATATTGAGAAATGATTAAGCATGAAGGTTAACCAAGTGCCCTATGTATGTAATCTCTTAATAACATTAATGAGCGTAGCTCAATATAATATGATTAGAGGTCAAGAGAGTGGTTAAGCGGATCGAAAACACAACCTTGCTTAACCTAGACGGTTAGACTAGGCATATAGCATTATAATTTGGGAGTGGCAATTGACATCCTTTACCGAGACATAAATCGAATTTCATTATCGAAGATCAAATCTCATTTAATTTACATCGTTACCCTATTGCCTAAAAAAATTATTATGTAAATTATAAGAGGTTTAAATATACATGAGATTTTCTAATATTGACACACAATAAGATATAAAAGATTTATCATCTATAAAATAATTCTTTCTAACAAATATAATGTAATGAGAACCTATCCAAAATTTTTAAATTCAATTGATGAATCTTACGGAATAAATTTCCCTTTTAGGTTCATCATTATTATGCCTCTATTTACTCTATTTTTATAAGGTTTTTCTTTAAATTTGACAATAAAGTTATTGAAATACTATGTATATTTATTATTGTTGCTAAATATGTGCCTATTAGCATATGTGCAAACGTTAAACAAACCGAACATACAATATACACAATTCATAGAGAGGATCCGAAAAATCTACTATTAAAAGTGGTAGTAGGTTACATGTGATCAAGACAATCATTATTTTAGGTGACTTAATTACAAAATTGCATATGTGAAAGATTTGTCATTAGCTATTATTATTGATCTTTTGTTTTTCTTGAAAGGAGTGAATTTGATTTTTAAAAGATTGGTCACCCCCATGCAGTAATATAGAGTATATGTAATTGACATTTTGTTTTTGTATAAGAGAAAACTTCAAAACTCTGTACATTATTCATTGGCTTTTCGATTAAAAAGAATTTAGTTTTTATTAAAAGTAAGTGCAAAAAGCATAGGTCCATGGAAATTAGGTACTCCACTTGATAATTTTATATTTTATGGTCCTCCTAAAAATTAATCAGAAGATAATTCTCGCACTTTATATTAATATTAATCGATTATGGCATGAATCATGTGAATTCTCCTAATATTTATTGTTATTACATTATTATGTAATTAATTTATGTTTGTCATTTGATATTTTGATTGCCCTAACGTTGTATAAATAGGGGAAAAGGGAATAACATTTTCATTCCACACAACAAATCATCAACATTATCCTAAGATTAATTCCCGTAAAAACAATTAAAAAAAATATAAATAAAAAAAAAATCAAAATCCTCTTCATTGCTCTTCTTTCTCTTAACTTGGTAATATGCTATATTGCCTCTCATTATTGCATAATAATTACTCTATCTTGTCTAAATCATCATACTATTTCTTATAAGTATGTGTGCACGTAAATACAAAAATATGTATGCATGTAATTATATAAGCTAATCTACGTAGACACATAGTACGCTTAGTATGATAAAAGGGAGTGCTTACAAAAAACGTTATGGAGCACATGCATAGTCATCACATACTATCTTGAGAAATTCCAAGTTTCTCAATTAACTTGAGAAACAATTCTTTTGTAAAAAATTGAAGCAGTGGTTTTACCTTTAGCTTAAACCGCTACACGAAATTAAATAGCACATTACCCTAAACCGCTACATACTTGAAGTGGCTATTTAGGGGTAAAATCTTTTACTGTAATATTACAATTGTAACCCTTTGAAAAACAAACGAACTTTGTTTCTCATCTTGAGAACGAAACTAGGGCGACCTCTGCTACTATCGATCATTTGTATAATTTGAAAGGAAATGGTTAATAATTTAAAATTTTCAGTGTACAAACTATTACACATTGAATAATCATTGATAATATTTTACGATGAAGGGAGTGATTTTCTTAAAAAATACTTTACAAGCTTAGCTTAGTACATACAGAGTTACAAAGTGATGGTTTAATTTGAATTCCATCTATCTAATTTCAATTTAGTGTGAAAAATTAATGGGTGTTTAATTTTTAAGATGTACCCTACGCTTATTCATGCATATACATGTAGTTTTTTTTTTTTTTTTTTGGGATGCAAACATGTAGTTTGTAAATTTTTGTACGTGCAGTGCTTGTTAATGTTATTTTAAAAATGTTATTCATTAATTTTTACTAAAAGGTTTGAATTCAATTTGTATCATTCCTTAACATTGTCTATACCATTATATTTAAAAGTCTCTGTATTTCAATACATAAGCTAGTTTTTGGGGAAAAAATTGAGATGATGAACAATAAATGACCGAATGTCATTGCTATACAATAATCTTTGTTTATTCTAATAACAAATTAACAACCATTGAATCGAGTTACCTTTTAAATTGTCCATTACTTAAATTGTTTCAGTTTCACTAAAATGTAAAGAGTACGAGTATTATTAATGTCAATTTATAAATGTACAGCTCGCGAGCCTAAGTGATGGGAGAAAAGACCCGGAAACATATTGGGGAGACATGATGAAGGATCAACCGATGCCTGAAGCTCTGAAAGATTTCATAAATCAAAGGTCTTATGAAGGCCATGAGAAGAGAGAAACAATCAAAGAATTCATGAATTAATCAAAGACTTTGATCCAATTCCTAATATTTCAGTTTACCATGATGATAATGTGCATTCAAAAGAATTGATATCAAAGAAGGCAGATTGCAACTCTAAACATCATGATAAACTAGCATCAAAGAAATCTGACGACGAATTTGAACCGATCCCAAATATTTCTGCTTACAATGACTAATTAGACAAAAGAAAAAGAAAATGCATTGTTTACCAAAAAAAAAAAAATGAAAATGCATTGGATTATATATATGTATTATTTCAGGTTTGTAATACTTGCTTGTGTAGTTTCCTATATGTTTGTGTACCATCCTAAAAGAGGTCTCGTTATGTACGTGACCTTAAGGTTTTACTCAGTTTTTGATAATTCGTGCATTCAGATTTTATTTTCACATTTTCTTTTGTGAGAGTACTCGTATACATAGTAGTTTTATATATATACAAGGAAGTGTTGAAATAAACATATGAGTGCAATATCAGTTTTTCTGATGTATCGTTATACATAATATGAAAATAAAATCTTTTAATATATGAGTATTGAGATCATCTCTATAAATGAACTATAACGAGGGAGAACTATGCAGATTAAAGAAAAAGTTATCATTTTCTACAAATAGTTTTTTTTTTTTTTTTTTTTTTTTTTTTTGAATAAAGATTAATTTATGGATACTTCTATGACCAAAGAGAACTTTAATCACTCCCAAAGTTATAAACAAACTTCTAATGTAATGAACTTTTAAAACTTTATTTCATGAAAGAACTTCAATTTACGATCGCACAAACTTTTAATGTAATGAACCTTAACGTTTGAAGAAATAATTATCATTGATATCAGATGCATGCTAATGTAAGTACCCCATTCATTCCAAAATAAAAAGGCTCAAAGTCAGGCGCTCGGTCTTAACTACTGTACTATTTTTTTAATGTTAAATTTAATCATTTATAAACAATACTCCATCCGTTTTAAAATGAGTTTCCAATAATACTAGACCACTCTGACCTTCAATTGTACCTAAAGTCGATTAAATATACTCACACATGATTACTTGTTAGAATTGTATGTCTCAAAGTAAAGTTTTCAAAAATCAACTTTTTATTATACTTTTTGAAAAATTTACTTCGTAGTTAATGTTCCGTATGTAACAAATTATGGCAGATTGAGATATTATTTATTTCGGAACAGAGGAAGCATAACACATTAACAATTTGGTTCCTACAAATGCTAAAAAAAAAAATCTTCATATTTATGTTTTCTAAAGAACATGCTCATGATCAGTCCCATAAAGTT